GAGGGGGAGGGGGAGGAGGAGGGGAGGAGCAGGAGGAGGGGATGAGGAGGAAGAGGAGGAGAAGGAAGAGGAGGAGAAGGAAGAGGAGGAAAGGTTATGGAGGGAGCAGGAAGTGGTCTTTGGAGGTGCCAAAGGATGTGGTCAGATTCTAGCTACTTGTTCAAAGCAGGCAGAACTGGGAGGATTTGCTGATGGACTGCAGCAGCATAGGACAGGTGCTAAGGTTTCTGACTTGATTAGCTAAAAGATTAGAGCTACCATTAACTTTGTTGGGAAAGGTAACGTGAGGAACAGGCTTAGAAGGAATCTCATAAGCTTGCTCTGGGATACAGTATGTTAGCAGTTTCACTATGAAACACTTATGTAATGTGTTGTAGGGAAGACTCAGTAGTTAAGAACACTGGCTGGTCTTGCAGAGGACCAAAATTTGGTTCCCAGTACCTGCATGGTGGCTAAGAACCATCTGTAACTCCAGTCCTGGGTACCAGGCACACACATGGTATATATGCATAGTTGCAGGCAGACATTCATGCACATACTATTAAAAGAAATAAGTAAAAGAAGTTTGAAAGTAAGTTTTTTTTTAAACCTACAAACACCTATTTAAGCTGTGCAGTAGGTAGTTGGCTTTGAGTTTGAAGTTCAGAAGAGGGATCCAGCTTGGTAGGTCAGTTTGGAAAAGATTTGCACAAAGATAGTGTGCTAAATTAGCTAGGAAGTTTGGTGAGATCAGCCAGGAAGTGAGCACATACACAATAGAGGTCTTTGAAATGGAAAAAGAGGAAAACAATATTTTCCTTAAATAACACTGAGCAGTTCACCACAGTGAAAATTTAGCACATCTAATGTCATCTTCATTGACTAATTCATTAATGAACATCTGTTAAGATAGACTGTTCCAGAGGCTCAGTGGGGACTGTTGCTGTGGTCTATTAATAAATACTCATGGGTCTGTTTCCTACAAGTTAACATGTTAATTTTTATCTAATTTATTAAAAAAATAATTGTTATCTTCCCAAGACTTGCTTTAATGTATAACAAGCAACCTATTATTCAGAAGAATTGCAGAGACTATAAATATGGACTGTGTAGGAACCACATAGTTGAGTTCTTGTGGTGTGGGTTTCTGTTCCAGGCACTGGAGTTATCTTCTAAAATTAGAGATATTTGGAATTTAAGAGAAGCAGCAGAATGAATCTTCATATTTAGATTCTGGGTCAGCCAGATCTTTCTGAATCCATCACACATAAAATTAAGATTGAGGGGTCCTTGGCATCACAGATCTGTCTGTACCAGCAATCCAGGGGAGGACTCTACCCCAACTCCAGGCTTACAATTTTAGACGAGGTGTTTGCTTTCTTGGGACCTTAGTTTCCACATCTTTGATACAAGATGTTGCAGAATTACTAGAAGAAAAAAAAATGTGGATTAAATCATTTATCTTTAAAAAGTCTCTGGAGCAAGTTAAGCATTCAATAAATAGGTACTAATACTGTTTTCATTCACTCTTTTGGAGACGGGGTCTCCCTGTAGTTCCAGTTGGCCTGTAATTCACTATATAGACCAGGATGGCTTTGATCTCACAAAGATCCACCTGCCTTCTTGGTGCTGGGATTAAAGACATGCGCTATGATACCCTGCCTGATACTGTTTTTAGATACTCGGGAGACTGTGTCTATACAATTAATGGACTTTATTTTAAATATTTTATTATTGTCACAGTGATAAAAGAAATAACCAAACACATTAGTCTAAGTTTTTCAGTCATGTCCTGAAAAATATATTTATTGTTAATAAAAATAATCTGCATCCCATAAACCTACCACTCACAGTGTTTTGCTTAAAGTAGGAGTGAAAGAATATTTAAGCTTAGTGAAAGCTGAAGTTGAGGAGTGGAAAGCAGGCACTTAGTGCTGGGGAGTGTAAAGGGTGATGTTTCTAGACTGGGATGATGAATCACTGAGGTCTGCATGGAATACAAAGAAACAGGGTAGGGTGGTGGTTTCTGTGATGCCTAAGTAGCTCTCAGGATCTGGACAGCAGAACCCCATCAGTGATCTTAATAGGTGATATTTCCTGCTCCTCATTACATATAAGAAAGATTACTAACTAGTGAAAGGTGGTAAGGAATAGGATGGTAGTAAGTGCAGAAAGCAGCTGTGATCTTCAGGTCCGAAGAAGAATGAACAAGGGAAAAAAACCCAAGAATTTAGAATGTTCCCAGGGCCCGAAGACTGAGATGAACACCTCTTTGGAGAGGACACTGTCTATGGAACTTTCAACTTGCTGGGTGTAAAGAAACTTTCCAGTAGGTACAACCAGCACTGGTCCACTGGTCAAAGTGCTTACTGAGTCAGGAGATTATGCTGTTGTTGCTGTTGTGTTGGCTGCCAAGCTTTCCACTGGCCCATACCACCTGGCATGGCAACACTAAGAGGCATTTCAGAGAAT